AGTATAGCACTTTGCTTAGTATCCATGAAGTCCTGGGTTCACTCCCCAGCATCCTATACTCCCAAAAAGTATAACACTTAGCATCAGACAAAAAAAAAAACTTTAAAAAATATAACATTGGAGAATATAACTCAACTAGTCAGAACTACATAAAATAAAAATACATACATCCTCTACTGTATGGAATTGTCCATTAATTCTGTGATGCAGTTTGTGGCTTTCACTTACTCCTCATTTCTTTGCTGAATTTCAGATTGCTAGATAGTGAACTTGTGGATGGGACACATTATTTACAGACAGAAGGAAAACAGAAAAGGGGCGGTGGTTCTAAGCCAATGCTTTTAAACAATGTCTAAGGATTTCTATTTCATTAATTAGGTCTTAGAAGTTTAGAAGCCACAGATGGTGATAACTGTCATTAAATCACTCAGGCTGATTTATCAGTGGATGAGCATTAAAGAAAAATTAACCTCTCTAGAGACCAGGATATTTTTAAACTAACAATTAAATCTTTCCTAAAACTGGGAAAGCTGAACTAAGAGTGTGAGAAAGTGAAAGCAACTGGGATAGCATGGAAAGAAGCTAAGCAGTTGAACCAAATGAGTATCTTGGTATAGGAAGGTTATATCTCCTGGTATTAGACACTGTTACCAAATTTCTATCCTAATTCCTTTGTATTATGATGAAAGATCTTTCTGTTAAATAGGATTTTTTTTCCTTATTTTTGCCTCTTACTTTGATTGAAATCATTACTATGTAAGTTATGGAGGAGAAGGCAGTAAACTTTTGATTTTACAACATACAATGAGGCTCATTCATCCATATATACACAGCCCCCACCAAATCTGCATCATCTTGTGAAGGAATGACCAAAGGCAAACTAAGCTCAGAGTGGGTGGTTTAACAAATACATGCTGCTTTACTTCTCAAAGCTTCTGAAGATCATTTTTCTTTTTTTGGTACCGGGGATCAAACTCGGGACCTTGTGCTTGCAAGGCAGGCTGCGCAACCACTGAGCTAAATCCCCGGCCCTGAAGATCATTTTTTTAAAAATTCTCTCTACCTCTACAAACATTACATGCTAAGAAAAGACTAAAAATATTTTATAGTGGTTTGAGGAAAACACAAGATCCTAATCTGTTCTCATTCAACATCAGTGGCATAATTCAGCATTTGCAATCTGATTTCTATCATGATCCCAAACATGACATATTGTTATTATAATACCCTCAGAAAATACTATTAGCTCATTATAGATGGAGAAACAGAGATTGTAAGAGATTAATTTGCTAAAGATGACATTAGTTAAGCTACAGAGAAATCCTGGAACTTAGATTCTTTAATCTAATTCTCAATCCTCTGTTTATTTCCAGTGCTTCATGTTGCAGAGTTTACTGATAGGCTAATTCTGTGTCCAAGTATTTGCCCTTAAAGGCCATGCAAAGCACATGTGTACCTCTGAAGATCAGTAGCTGCTCAACAACAATGCAGGAAATTGTAAAATTATTCCTACAGAAGGAAAAATTGGGGGTAGAAGGTTATGAGTGAATCCATTACCATCTTGGTATCTAATTGTATCCCTTTTTTTTTTCTTTGGTATCAGGGATCGAATTCCGGTCTTTGCCCTTTCGAGGCAGGCAGCAGAACCACTGAGCTAAATCCCCAGCCCTCTAATTGTATCCTTTTATCAATTAAAATGCATTCCTCTTCTTCACAAAACCGCTCTCAGCATTTCTTTTTTATCGTTTATACTAATGTCCTCTCCTAAAGAAGTACATGGAAAATCTGAGTCATTTTCACTATCACTTGACCCCACATCTCAGTTTAATTTTAACAGTGAATGAATATTACAGATTTTATTTCATCTCAAATTCCTAGGGAATTTTTCCCTAGAGGTCATACAAGTATATTTTAGCTTCCTCACTAGACATTAAAGATTTGTTTTCTGCATCTCAGATTCCAGCCCATCTTTTCAATGCTCTCCCCTCTTTCTTCTAACTACTTAGTACAGTACATTGCTACATATTTAACAAATACTATGTAAATGAACTTGCATTAGTGTGGTTGTAGGGTCATAAGGGAACCCTGGGGAAGGTTAAAAGACCCAAGCCCTTTTTAGAGGGTAGAAAATGTAGGCTCTGTGTGGCTATGAGCAACAAGCAGTTTTCAAGCAGCTTTGTGGTTTAGAGCTGATAGTCTGGTTTTGACACCTGCCTCTGTGTGGGCAACACTGGCCCTCCTAATACAGGCTGCCATGCCTACCTGTTATGGATTCTATCTAGATGTCCCCCCAAAGCCTCATGTGGTCATAGGTGGGGCTTTTTCAGAGGTGGCTGGATCTAGAGTATGTGACTGATTCATGGTGCAATGCTAGGATTAAGGGTGAGTGATTACTAAATCAGTCCACTGATTGGTTTAGCACCTGCCCTAATCCCAGTAGCCTAGATAAAATATTAAAGGGGCAGAAAGACGCTGCTAAGGTCTCTTGCTTGCTTTGCTATTTTCTGCCCGCCATGAACTTTCTCCTCTGTGATGCTTGTCTGCCATGCCACCCTGCCTTAAAGCCAGCCAACTATGGACTGAAACCTCTACAAACTGTGAGCCAAATAAACCTTTCCTCCCTTAACTTTGAGCGTCAGGTGTTTTGTCTCAGTAACAAGAGGAAATTAACTAAGACACTACCCAAATTCCCCTATTATCCCACAAGACCAAACCCCTAGCAACAAACCCAATATCCAATCAACCAAGTATTGATCCTCAAAGGGATAAAGACAAGACTCCTACCTATTCCTCATCCTATGGCAGTAGGATCTGAGGGGGAATGTAGGGACAGTAAGAAGGGGAGATAGGCAGAAATGTAGGGTGTGGCTAATGTGACATGGCTGACAGCTATAAAAATGACCACCTGGTTACTGGAAACTGTCTCTTGTGAAACATAGTTATAGGACAGTTATTCTTAGAGACCTACTTTTATACACTGGAAATCCCTAAAACTCCATAAACCTTAGCCCACCTGAGCAACAAGCTCAGCCCCTGCAACAAAGGCCAAGACCCTGATTGGCTTAAAACCCCTGTAAAAATAGGCAGAGCAAGGACACCATTTGGAGGCGCTCACTTTTGAGCTCTCCCTGCTGAGCAAACTTGTTGGAAAGCTTTGTCCCCACCTTCTTTGCAGTATTATAAGTAAACCTCTGCTTCACACTGCTTCCATTTTCTGAGTTCCTTCCACATTCTGCACTGGATGACCTAGAGAATCTGTAACTTTGAGTCAGCTTTGCTCCACCCTTGCATTCCTTACTAGGGTGAGAGCAAGAACTCAGGAATGGGAGTATCCTGCCACAAGAAATCCCTAGATCTCCAGATCCCCGCTGTGATGTTACAAGGTGAAAGCACAGCTTGTTTAGTAATTAAAACATTAACATCTCAGTTCTACAACTAAGCAATTGTGTTATTTTAGGCAAGTCTGTAAGGTCTCAGTTTTCTCACTATAAAATGGGTATGGGGGTAGGAAGTGGTTAAACATATACATTCTATAATCTCAAAGAAGCTATGAATATTTTAGATATAATTCTGATTGAGGTTGATCATATCTGTACTTTATTCCATTAAGGATAAGAGAGAAGATGAATAATATTTCTAAAGAGAAGACTATTAAGAACAAGACAAATATCTAATGTATAAGCAACCAAATGACTAATCAATTAACAGGCAGAAGAAACCCAATGTGTCTAGAAAAATAATAAAAGAGAAACAGAGAAGTATTGGGCAAGGACAGAAATGTGGATCCTGCCTGAGAGATGTCAAGGCTTTATACAGTGGAATAAAAGTGAAGACAATATAATAACTAAAACACTGGCATTGGTGGTTAAGCAAATGTAGTATTATATTATGGGTTTTTTGAAAATCTGTTCTTCTGTGTCCTATCTTAGCTTGAAATCAAGGGTTGCATTGAGACTGTTTATATTATAATGTATCCTAAAAACATTCTTGTGGAAAAGAATCCAGAAGTTCCTAATATTAAAATAAAGATAAATACTATCAACATTAGAAATCCGTTTTTCTATACTTTATCCTTCTTTTATTGTGAGAGAGAGATATGGTAAATTTAATCAGGATATTTCTGCTGCACAAATTTACTTCTATTAAAGACTTCAATAATTGTAAGTAATATTGTACAAAGTTAAGTTTCACTAAAATTGGGCTTTAGGTAACAGATAAATAATAAAAATAGCATTGAAAGGACGTCTGTCCACAATTTCATTACTAAGTTCCCTTATTAACTTAAGGCATGCAGGAAACCAAAATCTCTGGTATGGTATTAGGGGACTGGTTTCATCTTAGTTGCTGTGGAAAAGAAAGCCAAGTTCAGCTTAAAATTTCAAGTGTTTTTTTTTAAATGCTTCTTTAGAAAAGAAAATGTAGTTAAAAAAGAAAATACTTGAATCAAATAATAGCTTTCAGATTATCAAATGTAAGTTTTCAGCTAGCATTCAAAACTAAAGTAACACTTTAAAATATTAGATCAATAGTGTACATCGTTGATAAAAGGTTAAGAAAATTCAATTTTTTTTTAAAAAAAGGCAAAATTGTAAAGATAATTGAAATTTAAGAGCCATTTTTAGCAATGTCCTGAAAAAGTTTTGACACTAAAAATGTACAGAAATTTACTATTAACCCATATTATATAATTTTGAATCTAGCTTTCCCTTAAACTTCTAGCTCAGAAAAAGACTATGTATGTATGTATGTATGTATGTATGTATGTATGTATCTATTTAGTTTTTTGAGACAAGGTCTCACTATGTGTTCAGGCTGATCTTCAACTCACAATGTAGCCCATGCTGGCCTCTAATTCGAGGTGATCCTCCTGCCTCCACCTCCCAGAGGCTGGGATCACAGGTGTGTGCCACCATGCTTGGCAAAAGGTCTAAATTTAAACAAGGTCTATAAAGAAATTTTGCCTGGAAAAAAATTTTGTGTGTATGTTAAAACAAACATACCTGCTTCATCATAGGATACAGTCAATTTCTCTAACATTTCTCGGTCAATTGACAGAATCTGCTGTTCAAGGATGGTCTGGTAAGACAATACACTATTTTCTTTGTCTTTTTCATAGTCCTGAAGATGCTGTTTAAGGGCCTCTGGGAGTCGAGATTTTACATATTCAGCTGCAGTCTGCAAATAAAACAGAGAACTCCATTAGTATTTCTTAATCTGAGGCTTTTCACTTACCCTGAGGTGCTGTAGAGAGAACTCAAAACACTGTGTCATCAACCCTCCAGACAACTGTGTCCTTGTCATTGTGATTTTTAAACTCCACTGCACCCAGTAAGATGGATCTTCAAATATAGAGAGTCACACACCTCTAAGTTTTTTCTACCAAGTTTAAAGGTATAAAAGATAGATTTGGTTTGTTATTCACAAAGTTAGTAATACTCAAACTTTCAACTATTCCATAGAACTCTGAAAGCCCCCTGATAATAATTTTGCTAGATACAAACATGACTTGCACAAGATAGTCACTCATCTGAGCAATGAGCTCACCTATGCTATACACATCCCTACTTTGCTTTGCTGTTCTACATTCATTAATACTCACATAGGAACTCTTATGAAATAGGAAGGAGAGCTTTCTGCTAGGGTTAATAATGGAGTAATGAGACAAGTAAAAAAATTAGATCTACGACAATGATACCTGTTAATTTGAAAATAAGTCTTTATCATTTTATATATAATATACATATAATATGTACATATATTATTCTAATTTGTTTTGATTTTTATTCAATTGCTTATTTGCTTCTAGACTACTTGCACATACATTCAGGCACATCAGAAATCTACACAATGACTTTTCAATCAGGTAAGCATGTTCTACTTGAGGGTTGGAAGGAAGTCATGTGTATTTTGAAAAAGGCCTTACGAAAGACTCTGATACATTCTTCTGGTGGGCTAAGCATATGGTTCTCCCTCCTAGTTGAGAATCAGAGTAATAGTTAAATCACACTTTATGGAAAAAATTAAATGATAATTTATGAATGAATGAATGAACCAATCAGGTGAGTTCTGAAATTCTTAAAACATATCTCTTGAGATTGTCAAGGTTTTGGCATGTCATTGCAGTACAGTCCTGTTCCACTTGCAAACTGTTTAAAGTTGATAAGCCAATAAATGAAGGCATATATATATATATATAGTCTAAATTTATATTCATAAACATTAAAACATTTCTCCAATAAACTGCTAAAGAATTACCTATGGGGTATGGGTGTAGAATAAAACAAAGACCCAGCTACATAGTTTAATTTTTAAAATACTGTAGGGCTATGACTTGTGTTAATTAAAATATTGTGAGTTACAAATTAATGAAAAGATATCTCATGTTCATAGATTGGAAGAATTAATATTGTTAAAATATCCATACTACCCAAATTGACTGGTAGATTCAATACATCTCTTCCAGAGTATAAATGAAAATTTTCACAGAAATAGAAAAAAATTCTAACATTCACATAGAATCACTAAAGACCTCATATAGCCAAAACAATCTTGAGGAAAAGGAAAAGCTAGGGCAACACATTACATCTGAAATCAAAATACACTATAAAGTTACAGTAACCAAAACAGCATGGTGATGGCACAAAAACAGACACAAAACAATACAACAAAATAGAGAGTCCAGAAATAAATATCTATATTTGACAAATTTTTAGTGACGCTTCGAAGAATACACATTAGGAAAAGAATAGTCTCTTCTAAAAAGTGTTGGAGAAACTTAATATCCACATGTAAAAGAATAATTAGACTCTGTCTCTCACCAGACATAAAACCTGTAGGACTTGGAACTATGCAACTACTAGAAGAAAAATAGGGAAAACACTACATAGCATTGGCCTGGGCAAGGACTTTTTGGATAAAATCTCAAAGAAGAGATAATACAAGCAAAAACAGAGAAACAGCATTACACCTAACTAAAAAGCTTCTGCACAGTAAAGGAAACAAAGTGAAGAGAAAATTTACAGAATGAGAAAAATATTTGCAAACTGTACATCTGACAAGAGATAAATATCTAAAATATATAAGGAACTCAAAACAACTCAGTAGCAAAATACAAACAAACCAACAAACAAAAGGCCACATAAATAATCCAATTTAAAAATGAGCAAAAGACCTGAATAGACACTTTTCAAAAAAATACAAAGAAATGGCCAATAGGCATATGAAAAAATGCTCAACATCTCTAATCTTCAAGGAAATGTAAATCAAAACCACCATATCACCTTGCTCCAGTAAGAATGGCTATTATATAAAACACAAAAGATAACAAATGTTGGTGAGGAAGTAGAGAAAAGGGGAATCTTTGTACACCATTTGTGGGAAAGCAAATTAGTACAGCCGTTATGGAAAACAGTATAGAGGTTCCTCAAAAAATTAAAAATAGAACTACCATATGTTCCAGTAATCCCACTACTAGGTATATAATCCAAAGGAAATGAAATCAGCATGTCGAAGAGATAGCTGTACTCCCATGTTTATTGTAGCAATATTCAAAACAGCCAAGATTTGGAATCAAACTAAATGTCAACCAATGGATGAGCTGGTAAAGAAAATGTGGCACATATACCCCATGAAATACTATGTAACCATAAAAATGAATGAAATCTTGCCATTTGAACAACATGGATGGACCAGAAGAATAATGTGTTAAATGAAATAAGCCAGAAACAAAAATATATATATTTCATGATCTAAGTTTCAAGAGAGCTATTCTCTAGCCAGGTAACTATAGTTAATGATGATATATTGTGTTCCTGAAAAATGTAAAGATAGTGGATGTTATATCCTATCACCACAAAATCTGTAACTATGTGAGGTAATATATTTGGTAATTAGCCAGATTTAACAATTTTACAATGTATATATGCTTCAAAACCTGCTGTGCAAGATGAAAATAAATAATGCTGTCAATTTTAAAAATAAGTAAAAATGGGGCCGGGGATTTAGCTCAGTGGTTCTGGTGCCTGCCTTGCAAGTGCAAGGTCTTGTGTTTGATCCCTAGTACAAAAAAAAAAGTAAAAATGATATAAAATTCATGTGAATTAAACATACAGATATTTATATATACATATGTATAAAATCTGATACATGCTGATCAACAGGGTTCAGTTTTTTCATTTATAGACTAGTATATCTATGTATCTACAGTATCTATGTTCTTTGGAAAATATGAGATATGATTATATGTACTGACAGGAAGAACATCATGATGTATTACTGATGAAGTTAAAAAACAAAGCAACAAAGTACCAGTGATAGCATATCCTTTTTATGTAAAGCATATATTTTTATGTATTGTATTTAGCATTATCATATACTATGCATAGGAAGAGATGTGGAAGGATTCATACTCCAGTTGTGGAAGACACATTTTACTTTCTAAAGTTCAGTATTGTTTCCATTTTCTTAACTGTTGTAATTTTTTTTTTTTTTGGTACCGGGAATCAAACTCGGGACCTTGCGCTTGCGAGGCAGACGCCAGAACTACTGAGCTAAATCCCTGGCCCTTAACTATTGTAATTTTTTTAAATTGCCTTTAAAATATATTTGTAACCTTCACAGATTTCCCTTTAAATTTTAGGACAATTTAGGCTGGAAAAAAACTTACCAGAGCAATGACAACTGACTTCTCAGGAAAAATTATGCAGGAGAGTGGTGCGGAAAAGTTACATTTCAGTCCTTAGAATAGCTAAAGATAGCATACACTATTTATTTCCAGATTTATATTTAGACTTCATAAGTTAGATGCTTATGAAATTACCACTTTAAAATATTACCAAATATTGTTTGATTTCTCTGCCAGCCAGCTAGTGTAGAACAAATAAAGTTATTCCACAAAATGTAAATGAACTCAGCATATTAGCATAACAATTTTCTACTGGCACTGGAAAACAATATTCTGACACTGCTGAATAACTATTTTTAACTCACACTACCTAGCTATTCAGTGTAACATCTGTTTTTAATAATTTTTTCCTTTGGGATACCTACAAAGTAGAGAAAATGGTTCTACAATTTATAACATTTTATAAATACTGATGTACTCTTTATTATTGAAAGCACACTAAATTAAAATCATGATATAGGTCCTGGAATGGTGCCTGTATCTTTGACTATATTAGGGCTATATTTTGGGATTTCATTTCTAAAACAGAATAACTCCGTATGTAGAATTCTTTCCATTGGAAAAGATTCTTAGGAGGAACAGAAGGAAATAACTCTAGGTAAAATATTAGATTTTGTCAAGATATTTCAAGAAATCCCTTTGATACTGAGATGACATCTAAATATACTCAAATGGCAGTTTTACCTTATGTTCAAGCATGAGCTTATGTTCAAAAACATATTTTTAGCTGAGACTGGAATTATTCCACAAGTTAAAAGAAAATACAAAGAACAATTTAAATTTCAAAATTTTACTGAGATTGTAAAAATGTCGTGAAAAACAAAATTAAAATATGGGGTTACTTACCTAGTCCTTAATCAATGATAATTGCTACTGGAAGTTTAAATCCTAATTTTTATATTCTTATAAATTAACCATTCCAAAAACAACATTGTTGCTAACATCATCAGTATCCTGTATATATGTATTACTTTATATTTTCCCAAGCATTTTATGTTCTCATCATTCTATCTCTTCATAGTAATTTTGAGTGAAAGTATACAAATTACTGGTTTTGGCCAATTCTTCATATCCTTCAGTGTTTGGCTGAAATGCTATATATTCTGTGAATGTTGTCTAATCTAACTTTTACAAACACTTGAGAGTATCCAACAGACTTTCAAAAATTTGTGTAAGTATAGGTATTTTAGCTCTTCAGTTTGATGGAAATAAGGACTGTATCTTACTCATCATTGTGTTCTGCCACCATCTGCTTCAGTAATTTGTGCCATAGATGTATAATATCATGACAATAAACAAGAATCAGGTACTTTTAAGTAGCCTTTGGAGAAAACTTTTTGACAGTTTTTAATTCTTTACCTCCAAACAAAACTTCCTTCCATGATTCCAGAGAATAAAAATATGGTTTTCCACTAGCAATTGGAACTACACTTAATCTTTAGTTATCATTCATGCTGTTATTAGAAAGTAATCAGCTCAAACCTAAATCATCACTTGCCTGCCCAAAGGTCAAATCAATATTACAATCTCCCACAATTTGGCAATGGGCTCAATTCTGCTAGGGACCCTTTGAGGAGTCCTGTAGACTGTACCTTAGAACTGTATACTTCAATTGAAGATTGTGTAGTGGGGAGTTAATTTTCCTGGACATGCAGGGAACTTCTACTTATCCGAACTGCTGAGAAGCCTTAAGGCAAAAAGTGAAAGAAAGGTCACAGTTAGAACTGAAAAATGTTGTCTCTCTAACTCTGTAGTAAAAAAACTATTATGAGACAAGGCACAAAAGATGTCCAATGCACTTACAGAATTTCCATACATTTATATAATACATGCCACCTTCAGTCTAGAAAATAGCAAATAGCTAGAACAGACCCCGTAAAAAGAACTCAAGAAGAAAAAAATTAAAAAGTAGAATGATAACTTAGTAAGTAGAATGTTGATACTGGTCATTATGCTAAAAGAAACCTATTTATTATTATAGTGACATGTTAAGAAATAACTGGCATATATTAAAGATTTTAAAGGGATGCAAAAGTGTATTCTAAGAGCTGCTGAAGCCTTCACAATTCATCTTTTAAAAACACCCTGTCAGCCACCCAGCTTTAATTTATTAACTGTCTGCTGAGTAAAGCACATTAAATTTGACACTGTTAGGAGAACAAGCTTCTACCATAAAGGAACATGAAATTTTGATGTGCAAACAAAACTAATACAATAATAGGAATCTTCAGATGAATGAATATATTTACTTAATACATGAGTCATGGTATGTGCTAAAGCAGCCCTAGGGAGATGAATTAAGAGAGATCAGAAAAAGAATCAGGAAATTAGTCTGGTGGAATTTAAAAGATCAATTCTGAGGTAAGAGGTACTTACCAAAGATCAGAAAAGCAATCTAGGAAGTTGTGACTATGAGTTCATAGGAAAGAATGATAAAAATATGAAGCTGAATTTAAGATGCACTGAAACAGAATGAGATTAAGTCAAGACAAGTGAAAAGTCTGAAGGACAGGAATACTACTGGCTTATACTGTGGCTCGAGAATAAATCATACAATCCTTTTGGATAGAAAATGAAAAGCTGCAACAAAAACCTTAAAATAACTTACACCTTTTACACAGCAATTGTCTTTCTAGGAATTTTTAAAGGAAAATTTATTTATTTATTTATTTACTTATTTATTTATTTTTGAGACGGGATCTCCTGATATGTATAGTTCAGACTAGTGGCCTGGAACTGACAGAGACCCTCCTACCTCAGCCTCTCAAGACTGATTGATTACAGTAATCTCAGAATTACAGATGTGTGTCACCATGGCCAGCCTATAAGGAAAATTATATGTATGTAAATTATATGAATGTTTGCACAAACACTTGTGTGCAAACATGTTTATCAAAGTATTATTCATAATAAAAGCCTTTCAGAGAAATTGGTTAATGAAATTATTGAATATTATGCAATGGATAAAATGCAGCTATTAAAAATCATTTTGGGGGGGCTGGCAGTGGAGCTAGGTGGTAGAGCACTTTTGTGCAGCATGAATGAGACCCTGGGTTTGATCCCCAGCACTGAAAAAACAAAACAAAAATTCAGAGAGAGAAGAGAAAAGTTATGAAGAAGAGTAAATTATATGGGAAAATATTCACATAAAAAACTGATTAAAAGTAGTATAATTATGTATAAGGAAAAATTGGTTGAATTATATTACCATGTATCGGTGATCTTAGTAGTATGTTCAGTGATTTTTAAATATAATTTTCGGTATTTTTCAGATTTTATAAAATAAAAAGAATGCTTCTCTCTGCTAGCACTGTACCAAATATTTCACACGTACTAACTTGTTTAATCCTTGCAACAACCCCAACAGTGTTTTTTACAGATATGATAAGACTTAGGTTAAATAACTTAACCCTGCCTATGCAATGAGTAATGGGACAGTAAATACCAGCTGCTTTTGAAACAGAAAAAGAGAAATATTAAGTTTTTTAAAAAGAGAGAGAGAGCTGTGGTTATTGGATTATAAGGTAAAGCAGCCCCAGGTAGAACAAAGCCCAGGAGAAGTGAACAAATAAACACTTAAGCAGAACTTGGTGACAGATGGAGAAGAAAAATATGTAAACTGGATTCAGCTTTACAAAACTGGAAGTTAAAGATTACTGCGGGTCCATTGAGAGCAATGGAAAAACTAAATAAACTGAAAAAATATATTAAATTGACTTTTGAATATTTAATAATAAGCCTGAAATCTACCCATCTCTGCATATTTTAGAGAATATTCACCATCCCAAAAATGGCTCCACAAGGAAATGCTGTTATACTTAATCTACAGTACTTGGAAGAAAAATATCAGACAGATTATTTTGGTTGCAAGTTTCCAAGAAGGAAAAAGTCAGTTTCAAGAACAGATATTAAATACAACATCCAACTGAAAAACATCACAAGTAAATTAGACATATGTTTAAATTACTTTTAGTATTTTTCTCTGGAAATTTGCAAAGGTAAAATTACTACCTCTTTTGGCCTCTTGTGGACTAAAATAAAATAGGCTTGTGATGTCTTTAAACTGTGAAAGTATGTCCCATCTTACTGTAATTTTTATTTAATACTTCATATGTCATAGTTGTGGGATTTTAAAAATTCTGTGCTACTTACTTTTTAAATAAATGTCCTATTTTATTACTAAGTCTAAAATTTAGTATATAGTACATAATTCTTATAAAGTTTTAGGTATGGTATTCAAAAGAAAGTAAGCTACTTTATACTCTAATAAATTCTTATTTGGAAGATATTTATAAAACCAGGAAATGGATTTTATCATAAAGTTTGTAATAAGTTGTATTGTAAATGTTGGTCCTCATATAAGATCCAATTTCAAAGTAACTTTTAAAAACTAATAGATGAGATTGTAAGATTTCAAAACCTGGGGAAAGTATCTGAAGAAAAAATACCTACTTTTACCTCAAGGATAGTCTACAGTGCCTTACCAAGACAAAAGTTTCAGAATTTTATGATCTTTCAAATAGTACGATTTTATGTTACCCTTCTACACACACACACACACACACACACACACACACACACACACAATTTGAGCAGAGAGATTTCCTCGAACTCCATTCAACCATATAAATAATATCAGTGCGTGTCATACCTGCCTAACTTGGAACTCCGTGCTACAGTTTTCAATGTCTGTGTTGATTATAAATGGACACAATCTTCTAGGCCTAGATCAAAAGGAGACTAAATCAAAGGGGGCTGATTTGTGCACCTGTAAAAGGTAAATTTAACACTGCTGTCACACATAATAAGATGTTAGCTCTGGCTCTTAGGGCACCTAATCAATGACCCTCTTGGTGAGGAAACTGTGGCAAAAGGAAAGCATACAGGATGTATGACGGGAAACCAATTCTGCAGATATTAAATAGAAGAGGGCTAAATTTGGGGAAATTGTAACTAAGGGAATGATAGCTAGGTTTTCACAAGATAAAGCAGTGACCAACATGGCAATCCTTCAGAATTTATGCCAGAGCAAGACAGAAAAGAGGGGGAGTAATATTTCATTGCATGCAAGGTTTCCTTGCCCTTGGAGGTAAGTGTGTGTACTGATTTGGCAGCAGCCAGCATACAGACCACACATAAATTTACTTAGGTCCACTGTGGAATCCATCTTTCTTTTGGTAACATATCATTAACTTTTGACAGCTGTTCTTTGGCTCCGGGCACTTTAAAACAAAGTCAGAGTGAGCGCCCTTGCCCACCAGCCAAGGACATGAAGCAAGAGTTATTTCTCTCCTGTGCCTGCCAAGTGTGTCATTTCTTGCCATTTTTAGTCTTTGCCACTTCTAACCTGGAGAAGTTATTTAAATAAGAAAAGCATCTTTGAGAGACCATCTCCTGCTCCTGAATTCATAACTCTGTCTCAAGAAGACAAATATGATTCCTCTAAGAAACCGCACTAGGAAAAAGTTCAGGCATTAACTAGAAGCATATAAATGAAATTTTATGGCTATTAAGCAGATTTAAGGTTGCTATGGAGAACCAAAGCTGCAGACACGCAAATGCTAGGTAGTGTGCAAAGTGATCATTCCAGAGGGCATGACATTCAGTATGTGAAGGGCCCAAAGATCATATAACCTACTTAAAAGGGGGAAGGAAGTTTTAATTAGCTTAAATATCAAAGTGATGACCATTAAGTTATATATTATTCAAGACAATTCCCTGGGATTCCTCATGTGACAAAATTTTAGTAAGTTTATAAGTCATAGAATTCATATTTACCTGGGATTATATTCATGTGGTAGCGCCAAGCCTGTCAGAGTATGAAAATGAAACTCAAATCCCACTTGCTATAACATGGCTTCCTAATTGCAGAGGGCTGCTTTTACATAAAAAAAACCTAAATTACCTCTCTTTTCTAGATCCCTACGAATTGCAGTAAGATATAATTATCCAAGGTATCATATTGTTCAGCCATATGATCTCTTTTTCTTCTTATTATTTTGGTCAAAATCTACACTTAAACTATAAAGACTTTAAAGTTTTAGCTGTTGACAGTCTGAAGAAAAGTTGAAGATATTTACGTACTTTCAAAGTGGTGACAAATGAATTCTTCACCCCCAATTACCACACATATTGTGGGAAAAAATTAGGAATTCAGAAAACACTAGTTCCTTGGTCCTAGTTCCATGGCACGCATACACACACATTTAAGTTCTCCTGAGTGATGGCAGGACAGAAAAAGTCTACCAGCAGATATTTTCATAAGTCTGTTGAGCAAACAAGCAGCACTTGACCAAAACAGTCTGGCTAAATTTTTGTGATGGGAGAGTTCCTATCTTTTCAGCAGTTATAGAAAGAAGAAATTGTTTTGCATTCTAAACACTTGAGATTTATAGAAGAAAAGTGCAAAATAATATTCATTTATAGAGCTATGCTTCACATTTCAAAAGAAAATATGGTCAATTACTGATAATAAATTTCCCTTCCATTTCTGACTGTTGGGCTAGAGAGCCTAGGGAAATATTAACTTCCACAAAGTATTATTCAAATGTATTCTAGAAAGTCCCACGCATAATACTGAAAATGCCCTTGGGAATTCAGGAAGCCAATGGGACTGTTACAAAAAAATTATACAATACTCATAAGTTATTAATCAAAAGGTTGAATTCTGTAGCTAAAACAGTAGAG